CTCTTTAAACCCTCAAGTAGTTAAATTATTAACATTAACCCACTAAATTTATAATTATAGCAGGAATGGTCTAAAACGTCCCTTAAAACATTTAAAGAAATCCGACCTCGCTTGGGATTACACAGCCTGTGACTGGCCGTCGTGCCTGCGACGGTCCGTCCTGCTGCTCCGTCACAGAGTTCAGAGACTCCATTCCATTTAAAGGGTCTGTGACGGTCCGTCGTGCCCACGACGGTCCGTCCTGCCATTCCGTTACGAAGTTCAGAGAGTCGATTTCAGTACCCAATTTTCAGAATTCTAAGTGTTTTGGAATGAGACACCCTCGACGGTCCGTCGTGCCCATGACGGTCCGTCGTGGGTTCCGTCGTCTCCGCCAGTTTTTCCAGAATTAAAATCTGCTGCTCAAAACGACTAAACAGGTCGTTACAATTATTCTCACCGACATAAAATTTATTATTCTCACCAACATATAATCATTTGAACTCACACTTCGCAACTGTTAAGTAATAAAATCTTGAAGAGCATGTGAAAGGTGTTTATTTTTACTCAAATATGTTAATGAAACAATTACTTAAGTGGAGAACAAATAAATTTGTAATAATCTATTATACGATTTTATAATGTTTTGTTTATTTGATAAGATTGAATAAATAATTGAGGCTATTTTAATAGTTTTAGAATTTATGAGATTTTTATGTTTATAAGAAAATATACCACACTAAAATTTTATATCGCATATCCAAATAAAATTTTAATGATATCTCATAATTTTACATTATGATATCATATCGTATAGCCAAATATACCCTTAGATGAAGTTTCAATATATAGAATTGTCCTTCGTCATGGTACAATAATTCCATATCAAAGAGAGAGAAGTTTCAATGTATAGAATCGTCCTTCGTCTTGGTACAATAATTCAATATCAAAGAGAGATTCTCTTATATTTTTGTATGTGCAGTGGTCCAATTTTTTCTTATTGGGTCATTTGTTTAATTTACAAACACTTATTTGCAAAAATAATTTCCATCCACTAAAATTAGAGCACAAAAAGCAAAATAATAAATAGAAGCAACATGTTATACATCGATCAATTCGATTCAGTTTTATATATTATTAATTTAATTTTTTAATTTTAAATTGTTAATCAAATATATTTATATAGATTTTCAATTTACTCTATAAAAATGTTTATAAAATAAATATATGACTTAATTTTCACTTTTTTAATAATTGACGTGATACAGTGAAACAAGCAAATCAGTTATAAATACTTTGATGTAGTGAAACACAAAACATAATAAGAAAATTGCATCAATAAGAACAAATATAGTATGAAGGCTACAATAACATGTGTGAAGACAGTAGTGTAGAGTACTGATATTTAAAATTTATGAAGGATAAAGTAATAAATTACTATCATTTTAATGGGTGATTCACTTTATCCAATAACTAAATACTGAATATCGAGATCGAATCGATGACCTAATATTTTTTAAAATTTTTATTAAAAACACGTTAACCCAATAATTCAATAGCAATAATGTGATAACATTATTTTCGGCACAATTCGTTGACTGGATTCGATCTTTGTATGAAGGCTACAATAACATAAGGTCATTTTAACACACAAAAAAATTTCAATTCTTTCGATTGTCAGATTTTTATTTTTTTTATATCCGTAATTAATTTAAAAAACCAAATAAAAAAGTTATTGATTCAAAATCAACCTAAAAAACAAAAAATCAATTCAAATAAAATTTGATTTGATTTGATTTGGTTATTCAGTTTAATTCAAATAGTGCACACCCCTACATGTATATATCAAGAGTGTTTGATGAGTTGTGACTTCCTTATACTAATAAAGCCTTCTATTTTATATAGTGAAGTGATCCCAATCATGTCAATGTCATGTATCTAATATTATTTATATGTATTTGAAATATATAAATAATTTTTTTTTGTATTTGAATTAAAAAAATATGTATCTAGGTGTATTTGATTTTAAATATGATATGAAACTATCAATTAATAATGTAAAATGTAATCAACTTTAATTATAAAAAGAATTAGTAAATATATGACAAGAATGTTTGTGAAATTATATAATCTCCTTGGTAAAATGATAAGTCTATTACATTGCCCTTTAAATATAATAAAATTTAATGTTTTTGATAAATAACTATATTCAATAAGTCATACAGCCGTGGTGTAATTACAAAGCATTGCTACAGAGAGGCTAAAGTTGCTGCTGATAGTATTAGGACATGCAATGACTTTAACACCTTACCGTAGCACTACATAAAAAAATTGCAATTAGAGCTACAAAACACGTTGGGGCTAAATGTGAAATTTTCCTACCTAACTAATTTAGTCATAATATATTTTTCATGACATTTGTGGCAACACGTAACATGATTAATAGCTAGCTAATAAATTTTACGTGGTCCGTAGCTAAAGACTAATACTTTTATTGACAAAATAAATTGTGTTGTAGCTATAATTGTGGTCCGTAGCTAAGGACAACGTGTCTCTTTTGTCTTTCTCTCTTTCTCATTTTATACGAATTCAAATAGTATATAATCGTTCTATACATTTATACTAATACAATTCATTTTATACTATTCGTTTTTATACATTTCTCTGCCTAAGTGTCTTTCTCTTTCTTGTTTTATACACTTCGTTTTATACAATTTGCTTCAACTGAATATGTATAGCGAATTATACAATTTCTATGTTTGCAATGGAGCGCAATTATGTAAACTTTGCTATAACATACAAATATGAAAATTTTATTTGCTATATGTGAAAGTTGCCCTTTTTATATATCCAACAAATAAATAAATATGTATTTATTATATGAATATTTTATTACTTAGCCTTTTTTTTCGTTTCGTTTTGATCTTTTCAACAGTCGAGTTTCTTCCCCTTACAAATATCTTCTTTTAGTTTATTTCCCCCTTAACTAATTGATTAGAAAAATAATGATAGTAAGTAAATAAAAATAATAATAAAGATGAATTTCTTTTACTTCAGTTTTAAAATTTGGAAATTATTTGAAAAGATTATTTTATACAAATCGACGGTCAACCGTGAGTTAATGGGTATTTTGAGGGTCTAACACCTTCTTGAAATGTACATTTGAACTTCAAATTTTTTTTTTCAATTGATTTTATCGGTTTAAATCTTTTGAAAATAATTATAAGTTTTTTCTTGATTTTTACTAAAAAATTAAGTGGTGACTCTGTTAATTTGAAAAATCAATTTCTCTTAAATTAAAAGATTAATTGATTTTTCAAAACTTAGTCAATTTTTATTTTATTTCATATTTGAGTAAAATAACAAGCTAGAGTGGGAGAGGGAGGAGAGAGGCGAGTGAGAGAAGGCAGAGTATAATGATACATAAAAAATATTATTATTATTATTATTCATAAAATTTACAAGTAAGATCTCGTAAATTTAACATAAGTATAATGATAAGCACCTGTAATTTCATTGAATTTTTAAAAGTATTATATCAATAAATTACGTCTGAGTCAAATAACAATTTTGAAATACTTGATCACTGTATTGTATAAAGTTTGAATGAGACTTATTGAACTTTTGTTTAAATTTAACATGATTAGTTAATTAAAACAAATATAATATTAAGAATCTATATAATTTATATTTAAGACATAAAAGTTGTAAAATTGAATTAAACCATACAAATATCGCCTCCAATCTCATTAGATCAATAAATATTGTTCTGATGATACAAGCGATTTGAGTCTCATAACAATTTTGGAAGTGTAACTCCACTAAGATTTATATTTACGTTGGATGGTCTTGGGCCTTCTCAACCCAAAAGCTAGCTCAAAGGTTGAGGCTTTTCCTCACACTTATAAATTGATCACCAGCCCCTTCCACTTCCGATGTGGGATAACCCAACAATTTAGCGATAGCATGCAACAAATTCTAAAGTGGTAGAAAATAAATTACAAGTACAAAAAAAATTTATTGATAAATATTGCGGGTACAATTTTATCGATTCCTAGATTCTTTTTTCATAAGATATTTATTCACTATTTAAGGATCGTTTGTGTCATATTTTCCAAATTAGGACGATTTGAACTCGATATATTTAACTACCCACTTTATTACTTTGATTTTCATGCAGAAGTTTATTTAGGCAGCAAAGATGGTAAACGAGAAGGAAAGATAGTTTATTTAGAAAACCATGCTAAATATCCCTTAGCAGGTGTTTATTTTACAACATAGTAGGTAGGTAGCTAGTATAGTCTAGCTGCAAATTTCAACATTTGTTACTTGATTTCCTCGAATAATACATCAAGAGGCTGATCCTTAGTAAGAGCCAAACGCCTTCTTCCATCTTGGAAAACTACACCCACATTTACACATAACTGACCCTTACGGCAAAATGGACAGAAAATAGGAGTAGGATCGCAAAGGACTAAGTTGTAACCAAGTTTTGATGGAACAATCTTGAAATAGCTGCTATCTCTTTGCCCTATGCTTCCTCCAGTCTCCAATAATACCCCGCCTAGAGTTTCATTGTAATCTCCCACTTTCCAAATTGTATATTTAACACACAATCTGAACGTAGGAATATCGAATTGTATGTTGAATAGTTTATTTTCAGACATACCTTCAGAATGAGGAATGAATTTCACAGGTGTACCTCTAGGTCCACGATCCGAATTGTAACGAAACACACCATTTGGACAAGGGGCATCTGAATTCGGGGACTCACCTAGGTACACATCACCACCTAACGCACCCCAAAACGCAGAAATAATGCGATAACTCGAATGACTAGTAACTTCTTTACCACTTGTGTCAAGGACTGGCTTACCTGAAGTAGAATCATTTGGTAATTCAATGGGATTTTGGGAAGTGAAACTTGATGAAAACACCACAATGGGAAACAAACACAAACATAACAAAAATAAACACTTCATCATATTCATTTCTTCTATTGTGTTTACTCTACGCTAATGAAGCCTTCTATTTAGAGTCATATGTATTCCCTCCCATGTTTTAAACATGTAGTAGCTACTCAATCAATTATATATGTCCTTGGAAACGGAGGATTAGGTAGAGCGGATAGAATTATTTTTTGTGGTTGGATTTAATTTGATTTTAAAAATCTAATACTCAGTTTGATTGTGGTTCATTTAAAAAAAAATCAAATTGGACCGATAAATTACATACATATGTTTTTATTGTTATGCATGCAAAATATATTATATTTATAAATAATTTTAAATATCTTATATATGATATTTATTTATTTTATTATTTTTTTAAAAAATATGCTTTAATATAATTGAAAATACAATAATATTACTAATATTTTTTTTGAAATAACTAAAAATGAAATTCACCCACGTAAATAATGACTGATGAAATAACCATGAGTTCCTTGTCAGCCATTATTGTTCTTCGTCGTCGTACAATAATTCCATATCAAAGAAAAAAAAATCTTATCAAGGAGGGATTCTCTTAATTTTTTGTATGTACAGTGGTCTAATTATTTCTGATTGGGTCATTTGTTTAATGGATAAAAAAGTTTTTATACGATTCTTAATTTTGTTATTTGGAGTTGATATGTTTTTTGTTATGAAATAGACTCATATAATATATCCTTATCGTTATACAAATAACTCACGTATATTTATGTCATTACTAAATGAGCTCACGTATACATTTAATGAGAGTGAAAAAATTAGTTTTAAAGCTATATATTTAACCTTTACTATTTTTAAAAATCATTTATGATCCTTTTTAATCTTTTTCATACATAAATTATTTTTTTGGCCGAACTCATAAATAGATCCCTAAACTTGTTTGATTTTTCCCTTCACGTATCTCAAGTACGTCATTTTCCTATTGAATTATTGAACCTCCCATAATTTATTCCTTTAAACACTGTTGGTTGATTTTGATTAACTTTGCTATTGTAAATGTCTTCAATTGTGTTCGTATTGTAATGATATTGATTGAAGGAATGAAGAAAAACTCTATGGACCTCATTTGTTTTCTAATGTGTTCAAATGACTTCAAGTAAAATACAATTATTTTCGAACATTTTCATCATCAATTGGACTAATGAGTTTTGAAACAAAATATGTGTCCTCTATCAATACCCCTCATAAAATCTGATACTACATCAACCAACGATATTTGTTTAAAAGAAACAAATTATTGATGATTCAATAGGAAAATAGCATAGTTGAGATATCCGTGGGAAAAAAACCAACAAATTTAAGGATCTATTTATGTATTTGGCTTATTTTTTTTAAAAACTAAACTGAGGGACCTATTTATGTAACAAATTTAGGGACCTATTTATGTATTTGGCTTATTATTATTTGACTTTAGGCCTATCCCATTGGTGGCCTCCTAAAGTCGGCACCAATTTCACATAAACATGTTGACTAAGCTTTGTTTATTTTAGACACCTCATGTCATGTCTTCTCGTGTCATTTTGACACTTTTTGGGAGAGAGACGACTGATAACATATTTGTTACTGGACATAATTAAATCAAACTGTAATTATAACATTTAATTTGAATTAATAATTTGTCATTATATATACAATTTTCCTTTTTTTTAAGTATTATTAATAACCGAACCAAAAATTTAACTGATATCAACCAAACCGATAAATGTGCATGGGAGAAGAAAGAAGATTATATTGCCATGATAAAAGAGTTTTATTTAGAACTATCTGCTCGTCCTATGGTTCCAAACAAACTTGCCTCTAATGTTGCATTGTACTCTCCCACTTTCCAATTTATAAAATTATCACAATTCATCGAACCAACGAACTGGATGTTAATTATCACAATTGTTCACACTCACCAATTTCGTAAATTCAATGATGAGGCGACTAACGAGAATTATTTGATTGGTAACATACAACTTTCTTGAGGTTAAGTCTATGTTACCTTTGCTCACCACTTTAATTATTTATTTCCAAATCCAAATATGTAGACCATTAATTAAATTATGTGGAATTAAGTGAGTACGTTCGTGACTAATATTTTAGCACAAAAACATTTTTTACTGTTTAATACTTGGCTACTTCCATCAATTAATCTAATTTAACAACTAATTAGGCAAATATATTCAAATTGAATGGATATGCCCCTTTTCAATATATATAAATATCCTCAACTAACTATTCTACTTCGTTGGCACGTTTTACTTATTCATAATCGTTAATGGTCCCGTTTGCACATCATTATAGGTCCTGCAACTAGAGCAGACGATAAGAAGGAAATTTGAGGTGCTTTTTCACTCACATAATAAAATCAGATTTATCCATTTATAGTTGTTTCAAGACAAATATTTTGCTCCTCTCGTCTCCCAAGTGCTTTCTCATATAGTTCACATGTGTCCATTTAATTTGAGAAAATTACGTAGCTTAACTTCGAGTTTATATAATTAGTCGCGTTTGTATATGTATAATTCGTCATAATATACAAATACATATGTATAATATACAACTTTTTAACATATATACATACACAATTCACCTATCTCCCGCTCTCTGTCTCTCTCTCACCTCTCTTCTCGCTCGCCTCTCCTAATCTTGCTTGTCACTTATACAAATACATATGTATATAAATTATAATTTATATAAGAAAATTGTGATTTATGATTAAAATTAAACTATTTAACAAATTGGACATGACGAATTAAAATCATGATAAAATGTGTTCTTATATCAAAAAATTTGTCAAGTCGGGGGGTTTATCTACCGATCGACTACCAAGTAATTATAGCTAGAAACAAAAAGAGAAAATTATTGATTTAAAGTTAAAATACATAATTCCCCTTTTGATCATTCCTCGTCCATGTTAATATCAACCTTCTTGTAAACTAATTCAGAGTGTATGACTCTAAAATCTACATTCATGCACATAATGACCCTATAGGCTACAACTTGCATTCCTTTCAATATTTAGATAAATAATTATGCTGTTTCACTTTCACTGTCCTTATTTCTTCAATATTTTCATCTTTCATATTCATTCTAACATGATCGGGTAAGTTTTCATCAAGTCCACAGAAACCTTCACTTTTGCACAACTAAGTCGAGTCTGATTGATTGTTGTCATGTCAAGATGTAGAGTGGCGGAGCCACTTTGTGCCGGGGTCTCCAACGTTGAAAAATTATACTATATATACACGTTGAAAAAATTACTATTCAAAATTTGGACCTCCTTCATTAAATTTCTGGCTACGCCACTGACTGGAGTGTCAACTGATTATGCCGATGATAAAATAAATTCCTTTCATATATCAATCTTTCAATTTTATGTGTTTACTTATACATAAACCTCTAAATTTTAATTGTCATATTTTATTTAATAAACTAATAGCATGTCAATTTGGTCAAGTTTCTGAAATCACCATATTTTGAAAGGTATTTTTGGTAAGAAATAGTCTGCATTTAGCTAGTAAATTTTAAAAGTAGTTTTAAGTAGCAACTGTTACCCGTAAATTACTTAAATGGTCATTCAATTATTAAAAAATCCTTATCAAATATTATTCATTTTCTTTGTGTCAGTTTGTGTTGCAATTCTCCAATTTAGAGAATTCAAATAAGAATTTCTTTGTTAGTAATTATTTTCCCATGTGTTTTAATATCTTGAATTATTAAATATTGTGGTTTATATGTACTTTTTTATGTAATCTTTAAATATTTATATTTTATTTTAATTTTTAAAAAATTTTATGCCTAAATTTACAATAAAAATTAAAATATTTAATAAATTAGACATGAGGAATTAAATCATGATGAAATATATCTTTTTGTATCAAAAAAAATTTGTCAAGTCAGATAATTTATCTTCCGAGTAATTATAGCGAGAAACAAAAAGAGAGAAACATAAATCTCCCTTTGATTTCTTTCAACTTACCTCCTTTCCTTTGTGCTTATGCTTACCTCTTTTATTTTAACTTTTTGATCTAATTATAGTTTATATAAGAAAATATGATTTTACTAATTTATCCTTTACGATTTTAAAAATTAATTTTATAGATTATTTTCTTGAAAAAGCACTTTTAATTTGGAGGGAAAAAAATATCTTTTTATCTTTAATAAAATCTTTTGCTATTCTCCGGAAGCTCCTTAAGTATTTTCTTTCAAAAATTATAAAAATACTTGCTTTTTAAAGATAAATATTTTACGAAGCAGAAAGCCTTTTTATGAGTCCGGAGCCTAAAGGGTGAAAAATGTTAATAAAAATTTTAAAAGCAAAATCGCTAGAAGCGGAGCGATTTCTATCGTTGGAAAACTTACTTTTAATTTTTAAAAATTTAAAAACGCTATATGAAGAACTTACATAAAAACTTACTTTTAACATTTTAATTTAATTGTTTTGTAACAACCCAGTTAGTCAGTTTGAGCAGTAGAATCATTTTTGATAAATACTTTCTGGGTCGACGGACCACGCGACGGATCGTCATGGTCACGACGGATCGTCATGGACTCCGTCGTCCCATACTTGTGCAATTTCTTCTGCTGCTCTCTTCACTACCCTCGACGGCAAGTATGACGAACCGTCATAGGCACAACGGTCCGTCGAGCGTCTTCGTTCCAAAACACTTCAACTCTTGGAATTTGGGTACTGGGATTACTTCTCTGAACTTCGTGACGAACCTGCAGGACGGACCGTCATAGATACGACGGACCGTCACAAGCTGCGTAACCCCACACCTGGTCGGACTTCCACTAAAATTTTAAATGGGTGTTTTGGACTATTCATAATTATAATTATGAAATTAGTGGGGTAATTTTAATAACTTATTTAGTTGGTGGTTAAAGAAGATAACAGTTAAGTAAATAGTGGGTTACTTTTATCATATATTTTTATAAAACTGATTATATGATAATTAGGGTAAAAGAATCTGTAGAAGAAAAATAAAAAGAGCAGAGAGAGAACGAAGGGGAGAGCGTGAACGAGAGAAGGAAGCAAGTGACTTAGACTTCAGATTGAAAAGGTTCATAGACATTGAGGAATGCAAAGGCATGGAGAGGTAGCTTGCTTGATTTCGGTTCTTCAGTGGAGGTAGGTTATGGTTTATTTCT